TTCAGGGTCTCACCACTAGATCAGACTCTTAATGATCTGCCTGTTTACAGCCTCCCAAGAGCTGGAATTACAGGCATGTACCACCAGACCCAGTCTCAACTGCCCTCTCAGCACGCCCCGGGGGGCTGGGCCAGCACCAAGGGCCCCAGGGATCGAACCCTTGTCCCCTGTGCCTGCTTGTAGGCCCTTTAATCCACTGAGCTATGTGGCTGGCCCGCCACACCATATTTTTGATCAGCCTTTGTATAATTTGGTTTGTAGTTCAGGCTGGCCTTGAACTCACTGCATAGCCCAAGCTGGCCTTAAAACTACAGTAATCCTCCTGTCTCGGCCTCCTGAGTGCTAGGATTACAGGCATGTACCACATCCCCGTCTATAATTTTAAAAATTAAATTTAACAAACACCTGCCCTTTACAATAATATTGATCTGCATTATTTTAACACTACAGAGCAACATACTGCTTTTGTAACTCATTTACTCAGTTTTCTACCGATCATCATTTACATGGCTTCTGTATTTCCAAGATGATGAACAATCCTGTGATGTGTATTTTCTGTATTTCCCAGTTATTTCCTTAGCATATGTTCATGGTAAGAAACTGAATACATATGTGACAGTGCCCCCTGCAGAGGCTGATCTTACTTGTACCCCAACCATTTCTGGATGAGAGGCTATTCCTCCATCCATTTCCAACCCCAGCTATTAGCAGTCACAGAAGTTTGACAAGCTATTAGGCAAGACTTATCTCTGCTGCTCCAGATTGGAACTGGGACGTCCTTCAAATGTCTGTGTTGTGACCTTAGTCCTCAGCGTGGCACTATTGAGAGGTGACGGCAGCTTTAAGAGGTGGGGCCTAGCAAGAGGTCTGTATTGGGGATGTGGGATGTGCCGGTGACAAACAGCATCACAGGAGCCAGACCTTTTCTTCCTTCCTTTGCATCCTGGTGTGGCTGGCTCTGCAGTGCTCCCTGCTGTGAGGGGAAGCCCATGCCCACAGCACTGGCAACACCCAATAATGGATCACAGCTTCCAAAATTTGAGCCAAAAGAAAGCTTTCCTCTTCTTAAGCTCTTTTTTTTTTTTTTTTTTTTTTTTTTTGTATCTTTTTTTTTTTGGCGGAACCGGGGATCAAACTCAGGCCATTGAGCTTGCCAGGCAAGCACTTATTCTACTGAGCTATCTCCCCAGGCTCCCCTAAGCTCATTATTTTAGGTATTTTTTTCACAGCAACAGGAAAGTTATGTAACACAGCTGGTTTGACTTCTTGCTAGAGAAGCAGGGATCAAATTCTAGCATGAAATTTCATGTTAGCCATGAAGCCTGGCAGGATGTGGTCCTGAGTTAGGGAAGTAACAAGCAACTCGAGTCTGGCAACAGCCCCAGTGACACTCCACTTACCCTTTAAAACAAAACAAAACACAGAACAGCCTTATCTTGACGTTTGAGTAGTTACATTACTGGTTGTTTTGATTTTCACTTCCCCTTTAGAGAAGACTCTAGAGCTGAATTTGGAAGAACAATGAATAATTTATTCACTAACCTTGCATTCCCCCCTCACCTCAGTGTGAAATCAGGACCTGAGAAAGTCCATGGCTACTGTAGATAATAGTGGAATACACACTGTTTCTGTGGATTAAGGCCAGCCCAAGTGGTGCAAACCTATAATCCCAACATTGGGAGGCTAAGGCAGGAAGATCGCCCAGAATTTGAGGTCAGCCTGGGCTATATAGTTTATTTAAGGCCAGCCTGAACTACACAGTGAGACTCAATTTAAAAAAAAATATATTTATTTTATTTATTTGGTACAGGGTCTCATACACAGTTTGGACTCATACTGAGCCTCCTGTCTCAGCCTCCCTGGTGCTGGGATTCCAGGCCTGTGCCACCACACCCGGCTTTGGTGGTCTGCATGCGTGCCTGGGGGGTGGGGCCGGCGCTGCATGTGGTGTGAGGATTGCATCCAGATCCTTGCACTGGCCAGGCAGGTGCTCAGACTGCTGAGCTATCTTGCCAGTCCTCAATTTTTTTTGAAAGTGAACTCCAAAAGATGCTGTTCTTCCCTCCGCCCTCCCTGCTTTCCATTCTCCTTCCCAGTGAGACCTCATCACAATGACAGAGTCAAAGTCCTGGGTCAGGAATAGTGATGGCCCCACACTAACTAGATGAGCATTTACTCTGAGCTAGGTATTTCTGAAAGAATGTTACAGTGGTAGACTCTTCAGCCTTGTCACAAAGCTGTGACAAAGTACTGCTGCTGAGTGGAAGCCCCTCAAGGCCCATTTGCCATGGTATACAGCTAGAATGCAATAGAGCCGGTGTGTAAACCACCACAGCTTGTTTCCAGAGCTGCTCTCTTAGCCACTGTGACACCCATGAGGGAGAGAGCCATGGGGACACTACAGAGGTAAGAGGTCCTTTCCTCACTTAGGATGCTGTCATCTGGCTGAGATGAGAGGGTGGTCTGGAGGGGCTGAATTAACCCACCTTGGGACTGCTCGTCAGAACCTGCTATTGCTCCCAAACACATGTACACTAACTACATTCTAGCCAAGGTCCGACGACCCTTTTAGATAAGCACAGTATGTGCACAATTTTGATTCAGGCCATAAATATTTCCTGAATGGCATCTATATGTGCGGCACAGTACAAGATGAGAAAGGAAGGCGTCTGCACCCAGCGAGGCTGTCATCTGTGGCAAGCGCAGCAGCAGTGGAGGCAGGTTTTGGGGTGTGGGTGGTTCTTGAGGATAACTCCAAGTAAGGAAGGCAGAGGAGGCCCTGAGAGTCCAGCAGAGGCAGATGTAGAGAACTCGTGCCTCTAG